CAAACAACTACAAATGTTCTTTGACAGTTTCGGAGACACTACAAACAAAATAAACAGTAGTTCATTAGTATTATAGTCACTCTACGTTAAATTGAAGAACTGCAAAACAAGAAGATTGAAAGTAACTACAAATGATTTTAGATGGATGGAATATAGCGACTCTACTACATTCGATTTCAAGGAACTACAAACGGACTAAGCGCTACTACCAAAAATTTTAAATATCTAGCTTGGATTATTTTGGCTCTTTATTAAATTTCGAGGAAGTAAAAACGAAATGAACGTTAGTAAAAACAACTTTAAAAGATTTTACATCCACAGGGCGGAGTAAAGTGACTCTCCGTTAATTTAAGAGAAACTGCAAAGAAAGAAAACTAACATTAAATATAAAAACTCAAGTACTACACAAAATTGAGCTGAAGTATAAACAATAACAGACAAATAAAAGAAATATGCTAAATAACATATACGTTAGGATAACATTTATTAAACAAACACTTTTTTTAAGTTATTGATAGAATGAAAAAATATTTCTTTCATAAATACATATACATATTTTATTATTAGCTCTCACTTTTTTTTTACTCTCTATTAAGGTATTAAGCTATAATTCAAACAAATCCTATCGCAATTTGACATTGAAATCAGTGTAGTTAGATTTTACACTTTTTATACTTTATGTGTTATATTTGTTTATTTCTTATAATACTCCCATTTACTCCTGATAGCTTCTTCCGGGTATAAAAATAGTACACTTTTATTTTCCCGTTCAGCTGTAACCGAACATTCTCCCGTGGTTGCATCGAATGCCGTCACGATTTCTGAAACATGATAATAGGAAGCTCCAAATTTGTTTCCTGAAAATATTTCCTACACAGGAATATTGGTGGCGGCGTGGAAGCCATACCATTTCAGTTCGTTATTAACCGGTAGCCATGGAAACCGCAGGCTGAAATACGAGTTGCCACCACTCATTTCAGGAGGATGTGAGCCTGCCTTCTCATAATGTCCTGATTAGAATTCCGCTTTCTGAACATTTATTTTATACGGTCAAGGAATTATATGCAAGTATTGCTTTAATAATTGTTTCGGCATGGTAATTTTAAGAATAATGAGAAAATAGCTGTAATATACATACTACAAGTTTTGTTGGTAAACAGGGAGAAGCTAAAAAAATAAATTGACAAATACCGTATAGTAGAATCATATTCGATGCAAAGTAATAAATCATTGCCTGTCAAGGGATCCAGTGCCATACGCTTTTAAGGGTTTTAGAAATTGAATAATTTCTTTATACATTATGAAGGGGGACGAAGGGATCAGTTCACTTCTGGCATCCTTGTTCCTACAAAAATTCCTTTATTTTCATAAATTGTTTATTTTAAATGTAATTTATTATAAATCCAATTTATTTTTTAATTTCCACATATGTACAACATTTTACCTCTGTACGCGCCACTGTTGTTTACTTGTTTTTTGGAAGCTCTCTCTGTTTTACGATCAAGCTCGCCAGGTTAGTATTTGACGTATAACCGATCACTTTGTACACTCTATGCACCGGGGCGACTACAGCTACTACCAGAACACGTATGCAGCGGTATTTCAGATTTAACATTGAATTTCATTTTAAATTTGAAATGGTTCACCTTACGCCTCCTAAAAATGATGACACGATTTTCCTTTGACAAAAGACCGACAACTTTTTGCTCTACTTTGCATCGAATACGATCCTACTATAGTAAATAATGGGAATAAAATAAGAATTAAGAGGCTATTTTTTGCCCCAACTATTATTGGATTACTTCACCCTAATAGTCATTAAACAGTTAGTAAAAAATAATTATCCAAAATAAAATGAAATGTTTAAATAATATTAATAGAAAAACAATATACTTGATATGTTTATGTTCTCAAATAATGCAATTATTCAGAGAAACATCTTATATTCTTGATTTCACTTTTGACAAAGTTTGGTAGAGCAAAGACAGCTGCTACAAAGAGATCTTTTTGTTTTCCCATTTTACTTGGGATTGTTTCATCAGGCAGCTTCCCTTTTCGTTATAATTACCATTAATTTTAATTTATTCATATTTTTTTATGTCGAAGATAAAGAACTGTGTCTTAAAGAAACATGATAAATACAAATGTATTCTTTTCTAAATTGAATATCCTTTATATTATTTTATATTTGAATAAAATCTATTTTCAGGATTACATTGATTTGTGGTTTAATGACTAGCTTTCGTGATAAGGAATATAATAATAAATTTGAAAAAACATTTTTTAAAAGAAAAAAATTTTATCGAAATAAAATTATAAGAAAAAATATCATAGTGGTTGATTATTTCAACCCCTTACAAAAATACTTCAGGGTTGAACAAATTTCAGAAAGTGTAGTTTTTTTGACAGATAATGTTCACCAAGTTTGGTATTTAGCACATGGAAGATAAAGAAGAAAAACAATTTTTTTTTGAAATTTTTAGAGGGGCGTAACTTTTCAGGAAAGAGTTTTTTCAAAAAATTTTATACCAAAGACCCCTATAAATTTCCATCAGAGAAGCGCCTCTTACATTGTTTCGGAGTTATTTAGATACACCCTGCATTTCTATTAGAACATTTCATTAGTGTAATATGGTCTGTCATATCTTCCTTACCAAAGGTAGAATCATTAAACCTTTCATCATTGTCATCCTAAGGGCCAAATTATTAAAGCAAGTTTATCTTACAGTTAACTAACTGGAAGATTAAAATGTGTCGGTGTCGGTACTTTTTGATTGGAACAAATCACATTCTAAGCTTATAGTTAGTTAACTGTAAGTTAAACTAACTTTAATAACTTGACCCTAAAAGAGTGTTCTAATTAAATATAAAATAATATATAGGATATTCCATTTAAAAAATCATTCAGTCCAGTTCATTTTTGGTAGCATGTTACAAGAAAACAGTTGGCTAAATATGAAAAACCGCTCACTTTTGCATGTCCAATTATCTCATATTATTATTATTATTACTAAAGAAATGCAGAATATTTATTTTTAGAAAAGCTACTTAAAAATAAACACAAGAGTATATTCATTACTAGATAGAAATGATGAATAATTTTCCCACACCACACCACTGTTAAATGTGAAATATATTTTTTCTACTATTTCTCTAAATACATTCTTTCTAAAGTGCATAATAATGTACCCAATTTTCTTAAATTACACACATACAAAAAATTGTCCAAACAGAAAAGACTTACATATCATTTTCGAAGGAATTCGATATGCTGAAAACGATCCTGTAGTCAACATTCATGACTTGCCGATGAATTTCGGAGAAAACTGAAATTTTTGGGTAAAAACGCCCAAATATGGGTCAAAACTTTTTCCTAAATTTTATCTAAATGTATCATTTTCGTAGTATTTTAAGGCGCTGAACGCGATACCATTGGTAAAATTTACCCATGACTTCAATATTTCTCAGAAAAACCACTGTTTGGTTTAAAACAAGCCCAAATATGGGTCAAATTTCTTCCTAAATTTTGTTCCAATAGTACTTCGTAGTATTTTGGCCAGTTTTCACCCAAATATTGGATTTCCTGAGAAATATCGAGGTAAATTTTATTAAAGACATTGTGTTCAGCGCCTTCTTTGGAAATGAAATGTGGGTCTATTGGGTTTGGACTTTTTTTTGTGTGCCTGTGTTGTTAAAGTACAAATAATTTCAAAGTACACTACAAAGTTTTTCTCTAGAAAAAACAAAATGAAATGAATATAGTGCAGCGTAATTCGACATGCCTAATTTATGTTATTATTTCATATGCTTATCTCATCCCTTTATAATTAATCGCAGTTAAATGGATCAGCAGAGTGCAGATCACTGTAATTTAAATTTCATTCCGTAAGTTTGTTTTCTTGTTTTTCTATTCCTTCTGTTTTGAAACTAAGTAATTACTCCCATGTTTTTTTTTTTGTGAAAATCAAATAAAGACCATCATGATTCACACAATAAAAAATTAGAAAAAACATGATGCTGTTAAAATTCCTGAATGTGAAATTATACATTCGCGCGAGTAAAATTAACAACCGAAATAATGCCATTATGACATATGAGCAAAGCTTCTGTTAAACTCACGAGTGTGGATAAACAGTCTGTGTTATTTTAGTGTAAAATTTAACACAATCTTTTATTGCGCATTATCTTTACGACATTTTATAGAAACAAATTTGATGGGGCAAAATTTCTCAATGTCAAGTTACATGAGCAAAATTAAAAAGTAACATTAACATCATTAAATGTGATTTTACAAAAGAAAAAAAAATGATAACCTATTTTTCTATAATACTTTAATAACATTAACGTGTGCGTTATAATGATATAAACAATTAGTTATCTTAATTCCGAAAAAAGGAAAAATTATTTAACCACTTTTGAGCAAAATGGTAGTTAATTCACAAGTGAAGATGAAAATAATAAAATTTAACACTCATTTTCTTACTCAACATTTATATTTACGATTACTATAGCTTACTACAATATATTAAACATAAACATCTTCCCAATAACTACAGTCCGTACAATATTTGTTCAAATAAAATTCCAAGAAAAGAATAAGCCAATAAAGTTCCGTTATCGAAACTACTGTAACAATTTACCGCGGCAGAAGCGTGCCTTGAAATTTTCCGCCAATGTCTTTCTTTTCCACATTATTTTTAGAATATTTTTAGTATTGAAAGTTGTTTTTATTTCTCTTACATTTACAAATCATAAATAAACTAGAAAATAATACAACACGCTGATACAACAGAAGGAATAAACAAAGAAACATGTATTTAATTAACCTACTCTGAAAATTTTCGAATTTTGCTAATTAAAAAGTAATCGATCCGCAGAATCCGTAACAAAAAAGCTATTTACTAATCCGACTTCTTTCACCAATTCAGGACACGATTTTTAAGTGTTTTTTGGATTTCAGGTGCGCAGGATTGGACCTCCCTGGCAGCATCCCGTTCATCATGGATACTAGTTACGTTCCTAACAACCCCCAGTTCGGCTTACAGTTGGAGTGCAACTGGGGTGGTTCTTCCACGGGGCTACAGCAGGTGACGTGTTTCTTTGACACATATTCTAGTTTTTTTTTAACTTATTTACGATAGTGTTCGGTTATTATCTTATATAAAAAAGCAGAAGTGGGTCTTGGTACAGAGACATTTCATCCCACGTAGTTTGCATTACATTGTAAGTTACTGCTACTAAATGTGTTAGTTTTGCATGCGAACGCATGATTGTAAGAACTAGAACATTTGTATAAAAAATTATAATTAATTAATTAATTAATTAATTTATAATCAGTAACACAATTTTGTTAAATACCATTTAAGGAAAAAAATTTATAATATAAAAATAGGTACCTATTAACTATTTAGTAGTTCATTAAAGATATGAAGCATTTGACAGGGTGTTCTCAAAAGGATAAACCAGTTACTTTTTTTTAATGGAATACTTTGCATATTTTTAGATTGTTGAAGATTCTGCTTATTTTCAGTTTTAATGGTATACAGGGTGTTTGTAAATAAGTGCGAAATATTTTAGGGGGTGGTTACCGATGTCCTTTTGTGAAGAAAAGTTCTAATAAACGTAGGTCGAAATATGCTTCGTTTCCGAGATAGTGTTTAAATTTTAATTTTTTATTTATTTTTATTAATTATTTCAGAGTTTTAAAAATATTGACTCGAAATTTGGAAAACGCTTTGGATAAATGTGCATTTTTTGGGATGATCCGAATATTTTTACTTGCACCAGTGGATTTCATGCGAGAATGCCACAATCTTTTTTAATAAAAAAATGGTACTCCACTGACTTTTTCCCATTTTTTAGATTTCTGCCATCAATTCTGAATGAAATTGACCCTTTCATTTTTTTTCGTAGGATGAACCGTTTTTCAGAAAAAAAAACATATTTTATTACAAGTTGTGTATTTTTAATTTCTATTGATGCATTATCTAGTAGGTTGCTCTCAATATTGGCGAATAAAATACAACCATCAAATTTCGAGTAAATATCTGTAAAACTGTTTGAAATAATTAATAGAAATAAAAAAAAATTAAAATTCAAACACTCTGTAGGTACCTCGGAAACGAAGCATATTTCAACCTTCGTTTATATCAACTTTTTTTCACAAAATAACTTCGGCAACTACCCCCTAAAATATTTCTCACTTATTTACAAACACCTTGTATATACGGACTGATTGAAAATTCAGTATAAAGGATTTAGGGGCGAATATTTGAGGTCAAAATAAGACTTTTTTGCTTATAAACGTGAGTCCAAAATAAATTTTTAAATTTTTCTCCGTAAATAGTTATAAAATTTGAAAATATGGTGTACATTTAACTCTTCATCAGCCAGTATCTCGGAAACTGTTGATCTAACTAAGAGATTTTGATCAAGTATACATTTTTTGCTTAATATTGATAGGGGAATAAATGCACTAATACGAAACGTCAATGTAGCAAAAAAGTTAGGGCCAATTTAATTCAAGCATACTCTTATATGTGTCGCCCTCTAGAAGCATTGTTAAAATCAATGACATATTTAAATTTTTGTCTTCTAAAAAATCCCCGCACCCAAAGTTTTATGAGTACATTCAAATTTCTTTGGAAATTATACCTAAAAAATCGACAAAAAAAAACTTTATAGTAGTAACTATACATGGTATATCGAAAATTAAGCATTTGTGGATCCACGTTTATAGGGAAAAAATTCTTATTTTGACCTCAAAAATGCGCCACTAAATTCTTTGTACTGAATTTTGAATCAGCCTGTATGTTCTTAATTTAATCGTTTACAAGATACAATATTTATTACAAAATTCATCTCAAAGAATTATTTTTTTGTATATGAACATAAACTTTGATTGGATAAAATTGCAAGTACTGAGTAAAATTATTTGTGTGTTTGTTTAAATACTTCTCCATATTTTAGTAAAATAAAAAAATAAGTAAATGAATAAGGCTTATTGTCATTTAGTACTTAAAAGACGCAAATGGAAATGTCAAATTTTTGTTAACTTAATATTTTTTTCTGGTCTTTCATAATGGATAATATTTTTCCATACCTTTCAATTGTTTTTTATGCATTTATTTGAGATCACAAGAAAATTTACCAGAATTTTTGTCTGGACCAAAAGCAGAGAATTGATTATTATTATTTGAATACTTCTATACGTATTTAAATATCTAGGTACTATTGATAACTGATTGATTGATATAGGTACTATTGATAACATTTTATTTGACAAAGGTCATCTTCTCTGTGACAGCGGCAATTTTGAATATAATGCATGAGTTCATTTTAAATTACGAGGAACATAAAATTATGTATGGGTAGAAAAAATCATTTCCAAATCGGAACATCTCCGACTTGAAATTTAAAAAATACTGTTTAATTGTTACGTTGGTAACCCAAATAATAAAATATGATGGGTTTATTTTGGAATATCCTGTATCTACTTCTTTAGCCGTAGAACAATTTAACATCATTTAGAGTCAATAACCTTTCACGTTCATATTTTCATCATACTTTATACTAAAAATAAAGACTTGTAATACTGTTTTTCACTCATAATAATTTGTATTCAGCTCAAAACACGTGTAGTAAATTATTTTTACCTAATAATTTCCCTTTACATAAGACTTTTGAAAATTCCTAGCACAACTTTTATTTGTTAAACACCTATTTGAACAACAATCTCGAATAAGCTAAAGAATAACTGAAAAATATTATTATTTGCTTAAATTACCATAAAACTATAAAATTTCATCGTTTGTTTTTATGTTATTTTTGGTTATATTATATTTACATATTTTGCGTAACAGACATAGATAACATTTTACCTACTTTTAATTTAGTAAAATCAAAGAACAGCTGGTTATGAAAAACAATGAGACACGGAAAAATTATTAGAAATGTCTAATATATTACTTTATTATAAAGATATTAAGATAATTTAAAAAAAAATCAAAAACCTGGTTCCTAAAAGATATCCTATCAGATGAAGTCAAACAATGCTTGATTTTGATACCAAAAATGTAAGCATGCAAACTAGAATTAGAATTAATAACAATTATTATTTAAGGTGACCATATCCCTGACCGAGAAATAGTGAAATTTCTGGCGTTTTTAGGTACTGTAATCTTGAAAAGTAAAACGTGTAGAACAAAAGTAACCACAAAAATAAAATCCTTGATGTTCTGTTTATTCATTGTTACCATTTAAATTTTCTCAAATAAAATAATAACTAAAAAAAGCGTTAGTAAAACATGCGTGTGCTGTTATTCTAACCCCACATTTTAAGAATTATTTTGACGTACTTATAAATAAAAGTAAACAATTTTATGTGTAGGACTAGGCAAGTAAATGTTATAAGAATATTTACATGTGGAGTTATATATAAAACAGTTAGTATTTCCGTAGATTTCAGTACCTAAAACCTTGATGGTTTCATCGTAATTTGCACCTGTTTATTTGCTTTACTGCGGCGTCTTTGAAAATACTCGGGTGGCATGACATAACATTCCTATTATTTGATAAGCTTTAGATTATTCAGTTATTAAATGTTTGAAATTATTTGTCTTTGCGGAAAACACTATTTAAAGAATATGTCGCCCTTAAAAATAATAATAATGGTAGTATAGATATTTATTAACATAAAAACCACATACCTGGCATAGTGTAATTGTTAAATAAAGTAAATTTTCATAAAAATATCATATTTTTATTGTTCTACAATTATCCTTGACCAACACGTAAAAATAGCCGCTATAGAAAAATTTAACTATTTCCACATTTTACTTAGGATTGCTTCCTGAGACAGCTTCCTTCGAATGGAATAAATAAATATCAATAGAACAAAATTACGAGGTCTATTCAGAAAATAATCGAACTTTTTGATTTACGCGCTAATGGAGATATTTAGTGATATGCGGTTGGCAGCATTGCGTTGCGCATAACCTCCTCTGGTCTTGGATTGTCGATATCTATTTGTTTAAGTGTTAGTGGCGATTTTTGAAGCGTGCGATTTTCAAGAACAACAATGCAACATAAAATTTTTCATAAAACTGAGAAATTTTCAAGGAAACGTTTCAACTTTGGTACAAGCTTACGGAGATGATGTTTTGGGGCGTACGCAATGCTACGAAAGGTTTCCATGATTTAAAATAATCAGTCAATTGAAGATGATGCCATGAAGTTTTGACTGAAAAATTGGACATGCATCGAGTTGCAGCTAAATTTGTTCCTCTTTTGATGTTGACCGAACAACAGAAAGAAAATCGTGTGGACGTTCGTCAGCAATACCTTGGACAATTTAATGACGATTGTTCAGAGGATCATAACGCGGAACGAAATCTGGGTTTACATTCACGACATTGAGACGAAAGCTAAATCATCGCAATAGCAAAGTATCTCCACACCCTAAGAAAGCATAGTGGTCTCGATTCAATGTTAAAGTGGTGCTCACTGTAAAAATTCTGTATTTTGAATTCTTGCCTCAAGATGAAACAGTGAACCTTTAGTACCATCAAAGCGTTTTACAACGATTACGTGAAAAAATACGCAAACAAGAACCAGAGTTGTAGCGAGACATTCATGGTGCATTCTTGCACCATGAGAATGCGCCCGCATACTTTGTCAATTCGTCAGTTTTGTGCCAAAAATCAGATGATTGTCCTCCTTAATCCTCCTTACTCGCTTGATCTGGCTCTTGCGATTTTTTCTTATTTCCGAAATTAAAATCAGTGCTGAAAGGACGCCTTCTTCATATCATTGATGAAAAATTCGTCACAGACTTTAAAGGCCATTTCGAATGAAGCTATCTGGGACTGTTTCATGAAGGGGAAACATCGCTGGGAAAAGTGTGTGAATAATGTATAAAATTAATAATAAAGTTTAAAAAATAAAGCTCGGTTATTTTCTGAACAAAACTCGTGAACAGAACTCGTATATGTAAGAAAACAAAAAACTTTTAAGAGAAGGTAATCGATATATAGCTAAAACAGTATGCTAATTTTAACAAGTCGTACAACGTTTACCACAAAAATTCATTTACATTTTTTTAATTACAGTTACGGATTTCTTTAAAACTATTTTTACACTAATAATTCAGTATTGCCTATTTGTCTTTTAAACTATAGTAGGATCGTATTCGATGCAAAGTAGAGCAAAAAATTGTCGGCCTTTTATCAAAGGAAAATCGTATCATCATTTTTAGGAGGCGTAAGAAAAACCATTTCAAGTTTAAAATTAAATTGAATGTAAAATCTGAAATACCGCTGCATACGCACTGTGTTCTGGTACTAGCTGTAGTCGGCCAGGTGCATCGAGTGTACGAAGTGGTCGGTTATACGTCAAATACTAACCTGGCAAGCTTGATCGTGAAGCAGGGAACAATAAACAGTGGCGCGTACAGAGATGAAATGTAGTATATATGTGGAATTTAAGTAACAAATTGGATTTATAATAAATTACATTTAAAACAAATAGTTTATGAGAATAAAGGGATTTTTGTAGGAATAGGGTTCCAGACGTGAACTGATCTCTTCATCGCACCCCATTACGATTCTTTTTTTTATAAGGAGAACGAAGTTTCAAAGCAAAAACCTTGTACAACAGATATACTATAAATATTTACAGAATGAAAACAAAATATAAATCCTATGATATGATTCTATTAAATGAAAACACTAACAACAATTCTCTACCAATCTCAACAAAATAAGTTATTTTTCTATCAAACAAGAAATATTAACAAATTATAAACAAAATATAAATTCTATAATTATTTATGTACTGTACGCCGAACTGCATTTTTCTCATCTTCATTTAATATTAATTTCTTCTTCTTTCCACCCCCTTTTTTAGGTTTCTTAACGTCTCCTTCATTTTTCTCCTCCCTTAAAATTTTGAAAACTGATGATTCGCTTACTCCAGTATATCTAGAACACATTTCCACCAAACCAGTCTTCAGTTTCATGGGATGATCCTTTTCTAAAGCGTTATGGACATTTAATATTATCGTTTTTTCTCTGTAACTTAATACAATTTTTTTTGTACCCACAGCAGTACATCCGGCTTGTGAACATCCAGGCAACGCCTCCATTTCTCCATATAACGACAACAGAGCAATAATAATATAAAGAACTTCACTTCACTAGCACAGAAAATATAATAGCATTCACGATTCACAAACAACAGCCCGAAACACAAATTCTCAAATAATAGCGCAAAACACACATACAGCCCGAACGAAATATAATTGGACTTATAACAGTTATAACCTCACAAATATCGCGAGCGAGAAACACGCAGCACCAATACAACCGAAATGAAACTGACCACGTTGGGCCGGCACGCGCGCCGCCGCAACAAACACAAGACACTAGTCATATGAGGGAGGATGAAGGGAGTAATAAATGTATTGTTGTTGCCCTGCCGCCCAATGTGCGAAGGAGATGCCTTTGTTTTTCATTTTGTCCTTCATAAATATATAACTATTAATCCATAATGCATAAAGAAATTATTCAATTTCCAAAACCCCCTAAAACGTGTTGCACTGATTCCCTTGACAGGCAATGATTTATTACTTTGCATCGAATATGATCCTACCACAGACAAAATAACTGTCGCCACAGACCGCTACTGGAATAGGCCAGCAGTTTTAAATTTCCGAATTGCCGGTAGAGTACACCACCAGCACAATTTTAGGAAGAATCAAATGTAGCGGCCCACATACCAACGCGTATCCTAGTAACATATAAACAAGACTTTGGTAATGTTGCCAGGCGTACTTACGGATTTCTTTTGTACACTTTTTTATCAATATCTGTTTTTTGCGTTACTGTATTTACTTCTATGTATGATGTAGGTATTGATCAAAATGTTTTTAAAGAATCAACGAATATCTATGTAGTTTCATATGATATTCTGCAGCGGTGTTACAATTAAGTTATTTAATCATAATTTCGTTAATTAGCTACCTACTATTTTCATTTTTTGGTATGGAAATACTGCAGAAAATATATTTCCAAATAAACAAAATTCGTAATAATATTTTAAGCAGCTTGTAATATAATTTTTTTAATATTTGATGATGACGACAAATTTATTTAATATACAAGGTGGGTTATTAGTACGTCGCGGAATGTAGGTACCGGTTTTTTTGTATTTTGACATCCACTAACAGGTTTAATAATTAAAGATAGAAAGAAACTTTAAATACAAATGTACGACTTTTCTTTTATTTCATTTGACATCAAAATTTGCTGGCATAAAATATATATGTTTAAAATAAAAAAAATCATTAAAAAAAAAATTAAAATTCATCCTTATGAAAATAACAAACAACGATTTTTACAAATCAACATGCAAGTGATTGTGATGATACAGTTGAAAATATGTTTTAATTTACTATTAATTGCTTCAAAAACAAATTCAAAATTATCAAGCATTTCGTCCTGTATTTTTCTTTCAATACTTGAAAATTTTCAGGTAAAAAAAAAATATGTCTAAAGGACTGACAATGAGATCGGGGCTGTTTTCTGGCCAGCTAAAGTTTCTAATAATATTTTTTAGCGTTCGTTGACGGGATTCTTCCTCCAAAGTAAATTTGCCAATATTCCTGAAGAACTTTTGCACATTATTGTTATTTGAATAATACAGTTAATTATGTTTTATTTTTCGTCATCAGAATAACCCATTGTAATTTTTTAAATTTTTTAAATTAAAATGGGTTATTCTAATAATGATAAATCCCATGTATTTTTAAAAGAAGGTTCGTTTCTGTCGTTTTTGTCTGATTATGTGCGAGAGAGGTAGAGTTATAGTGTGCGATAGAGATAGAGTGACTCTGTCCTCATAGAGAGCTTCTCTCTCTCTCTGCTGTCTTCAGGAGTCTCCCCTGCAATTTCAGGACACCTAGGGAGGGAGCCTGGTGTAGAGCGCGTGGCCTTTTTAGCCTTCGTTATCGATCTATGATGTCACACATTATAAGAAAAAAAAACGCTTTTTGCTCGTAACTCGGAAATGGCTGGAAATATAAACAAATTTCCCCTTGGTTCCTGAGTAGAGCACTCGGTGGGTGACGCAGAACGGGGTGACACAATATATGAAAGAAAAGAAAATAGTATTTGCTTAGACTCAAAGTATCAAAAAATTTCCCATGGTGAACAAATAAATCTTCCATGGTGAACCAGTGAAAAACGTCAAAACCCGCATGTCAAAAAAAAAATCGGGAGCAATGGTGTGTGACATCATAGGATAAAAAAGTGTTTATAACTCGGAAACGGTGCGTTGAATCGAAAAAATAATTGAAAAATGTCAACCCCTCCCTCCCGGGTTCTGTATGTTCCTTCTGCGTTGAATGCAAAAGGTCCGAAGTCCGTATGTCGAAAATAAATTTTGGAAACAAGAGGTATGTCGTGTTATAGTAAAAAGGCCGTATGACTCGGAAAGGGTGCGTTAAATCGAAAAAATAATTGAAAAAGTCTCCCCACACTCCTGGTTCTGTTTGTCCGTTCTGCGTTGAATGGAAAAGGTCCAAAGTCCGTATGTCGAAAAACAAAAAAGTTAGTCAAAAATTTCAACAGCAGTAGCGAACGCATTATCTTATCTCTGTATTGATTGATGATGTGTTGTTTTTTTTTTAAATAAATTTCGTATTCAACTACTCCTTGAGGTTCCAGCAATTTTACATTGTGTTAATTTTTTTGAACACCTTGTGTTACAAATATGCGCACTGCCAATGGCATCCATGGCATACTTGTGTCAATAATTATTTTACCTATCTAAAGAAATCAACAATAAGAGGCAGTACCCATCTAAGGATACACAACCTGTATAATGCATTTTTTTTAAACATAGGTGTTAATATCGTACCATATTGGAAGTCGACGCACAAATCTAAAAACATTAATTTCGCGTTTTTGAATTTTCCCATTCCAAGGTGATATAAAATAAATAATTAATTAGATAAATTCATAGTTTTAATTCTAACTTGATTTATTTTATTTAGCATTTAAGGCAAATGTGATTTCCAAACAGAAGATAAGTTCCTTATCTCTTTAATTGCATAATTGAAAGCATTAAATTTATTTAGCAGTTATTATTTGGCAACAAAGCCACCGCTGGAACTACCGCCTATTACCAAGTAGAAGAGTTACCACGCTAAATTTTATAGCTGGAAGCCGGCTAAGGAGACCCTGCTTCCATTTCGGGTTGTCAATTTCCAGCATTTAAGTAGCAGTCTGTAGCGATACGCTATATTGTCCGAGATCCTACTATAGTAGGATCGTTACTATCTAAATGTACATAAATAGATTTGTAAACTGGCGCATCTATTGTCTAAACGTTGGTTTTCCTTAAATGAACTAAATACCTAATAAATAATACTAAACTTGTTCATACTTTGATTGCCTAAATCGATTAATTACTATTTCATTTTAACAGGTAGCTCCTTGCACAGACGACCTATCATCTTGTTGGAGCGAAGATATGGGTTCCTTATCCCTTCCTCTGGATCTGGAACCGTTGCCAAGTCTCTTCAACATCTCACCTTGCAGCAGTGGTACAAATGGAAGTTACAAGTAATAAATGTATTTAGTTCATACTAATATTAATTTACACCAATGTTTCAAGAGTAGATTTCTAAAACTATAAATATTAAACATTCAAGGTACTGTACCAAATCAGATTATATTTGAAAAACAACTTATTTTTCTCGAGAACAGAAAGTGTTAGTGTACTGTCGTTTGTTCGTATATTTAGGCGCAAAATAAGATTGATCCTAGGGAATTAGTTTCTTTATTTCCGATAGAAAAAAATGATTTTTTCCAGAATTGTGAGAAAGAAGGTTTCTTTGAAAGGCCTTTATAATCAATTCAAGTCAATTTGTTAGCTACAGATTTTTTGATTGAAAAATAGTGGGACTAATCCATTTTTTATTCGGGTGGGGTGCTTTTCTTTCAAGTTACAGGGTGTCAAAATAATAATTAAACAAATATTATTTATTAATAACTGATATTTTTAATACATTATCCTGAAACTTTGCATTTACTATTATCTTATACCCACATATCTATTAATAAAAAAAACGAAGTATAAATGGAGGAAAAGGGTTGTAGTATGTATTGATTCCCATAACTTTTCCTGTGCATGCCAATGTTTCACAAAATACTTCTTTCATTATAAATGTAAAAAAACTAAAAAAGTTTGTATTAGTTACTAAAATTTCTTAAATAAAATAAATTAAAAGAACTAACTAGCTGAAAAACCTACCTACTTACCAGAGTGACAGTCACTGTCAAAATACAATTTTTTTTGTTTTAAAGGATACCCTAAAACCTAAGCGTATTTGAAATAAAAAAAATGTCACATCCAAAGAAATTACAACATTTCGTAAATAAAGTTTTCATTTACGAAATGTTGTAATTGTATAAGTGAACAAAATAAAAAAAGAAGTATTTATCTACAAAAAATAGCCATAAATCAGAAATGTGCGTAGAAAAATGTTAGAGGATATCCATGGGTACTAAGACCTTCTTTGTTTTTTTTTTAAATTTAATTTAATTTTATTTAATTGTAATGTTGACCCTGTGCATCTTGAAAATGAAGAGGCTAAATGACGAATGGCATAAGGAGAATCCCATTATTTTCACCCAAATAATTTGTGGTTAACGTCTTGACTTACTTATTTTGTAATGCATTGTATCTCTATTTCATTCTATCCTTTCAATTCTATTTATTAAAGCGGTTGTGCAGTCTGGATTCTGGTTTGGGTGTGCGTTGGTCATTGTTAGAACTACAACAGCGATATTTGGTACATAGCATTCTAATATACATTAAAAATTATTAAACATCTCCAGCGAATTGTACGAATTTAAATAATAAAAAAAATACAAAAAAAATTTAAAAGAGAAACATAACAATTATTATATCATAGTACCAAATATTTAATATGTAGTAAGTATTAGTGAATACACAATGAGTACTATTTAACGTAGTCATATTCAGTACATAGATAGTTTTTTATTTTTTTGACAAGTTGTCCTGTAAATTTTACTCGAAATCCAAATAATCCAATAATTTTAGCTAACAATTTCAAGAGCAATGATTTTTAAAAAGGCCATCAATTTTTCATTATTGAAGATCCAAATTAACATAAAACAACAAAAAAAAAACGATGTAGTATCAAATGTAAAAATGGTTCAAACACAATTAATTTGTTTGTGTAAATATGAGCCATCAATAACAAAAAAAATTCTCCCAAAATTGGTAGTGACATTTCAGCTTAATTAGAAGATATTTAAGAAAAACCGTTATTAATAGGTTATCTTCAAGTTGCTATATCTTCATAAGGAGTTTTTGAGTAAATTTTTGCCAAGGAACACCTTGTAGAAATTTGACAGTCGAATTAAGAAACATCCATTGGAGGTTTTTGTCTTTTTTATTTTAGATATAAGGGTGAGTCATTAATAAAATGGTACACAGCTCAATGGCAGATTGTTAACGTCAAAATATAGCGATTGAGCCAAACATGCCTTAATCAATTGTTGCTCCTTTTCGTTCTATAGGGTGTTAAAATTGCAAAAATATTGTCGACTTTTTGCTATATTTTGAGTATGTACGAACCGATTGTTTTAAAAAATTTGTGGTTTTACGTTTGAGGTGGCAAATACGAATATACAAATAGTGTTGGGATCACGTCTAGGAGGCGCTAGTTGCACTGTCCTATCAATGTAAAAATATGTCTAACTTTTTGTAGTTTACAATTTTGAATTTTTTAATTATAAAGAACTTAAAACGTCTGTATCTCGAAGACTGTTGAGTTTATCCATTTGTAACAAGTATACCTTTTTTGTTTAGAATTGAACGTAGTTTAATAATTTCTAGTTAAAAAATTCAAAATTGTAAAATATAAAAAGTTAGACATATTTTTACATTGACAGGACAGTACAACTAGCGCCCCCTAGACGTGACCCCAACACTATTTGTATATTCATATTTGGCACCTCACAAAACGTAAAACTACAATATTTTAGTCCAATCGGTCGATACATACTTAAAATATAGCAAAAAATCAAAAATATATTTTTCAATTTTAACACCCTGTAGAACGAAAACAAGCAACAATTGATTATGGCATATTTGGCCCAATCGCTATACTTTGACGTTAACAATCTGCCATTGAGCTGTGTACCATTATTAATGATTCACCCCGTATATTTAGGAAAAAAACAATATAATCATTCTGTACCGTATCTAATATTCAGTAGGTAATTTATTGAAATATAAAACAAACACATACTAATAAGCAACTTTTGAGACATCTCCATTCAAGAAAAATTATAGTTTAGATAAAAAATTAACTTAAAATTCTGTCTTACTAACCTAACTTTTATAGTTACATTAATTTGTAACAAAAAATTACTGTAAAATCGAAGTTTCTTTTGGAATTATATATATTTTTTTGAAAATGGATCTATAGTTTTTTTATGACCTCTTATTACCTTTATATAATACGTATGTGTAATTATTTTTCTTCAAAGTGTAATATTTACTTAGGTCGTTGTTCTAAATAATTACCATTCATAATATAGACATGACGATAAAGTGGATATTTATTTTAAAAATAAGTACTGTACATAAAATGATATATTAATTATACATAAGAATTAGACAAACTGTGAAACCAAGTTGAGACATTTTCTGAAGTCCGGCACGTCAAAGTAAAACAATCTAGACCCCTCAACAAACCACACACTACCAGGCGGTCCAAATTTGATGACCTCCGACACCGCTCTGGCACAAGCATCTGGCTTCTGACTGCAAGCCTTCTTCAGATAATCACTCATATCCCTCCCCATCTCTTTTGTGAGCATCTTCTTATCCAAATCGTTGATGATATTAGTCTTGGTAACTCCGATACAGAGGACAACTACCCGCACACCAAATCTCTTGTAATTCACATCATGACCGATACTTCGCGAAAAATGTATAACACCCGATGAGAAAGCTGCGAACGTCGGGGATGGTGGGAATGGTTCTAACCCCGCGAAACCAGTTAGGTTTACAATAACCCCGTTACCCTTGTTCATGCAGTCTTTGGCAACCAGATTGATGTTGATGGTTCCGCCAAGATTGACCTGCATTTCCTCCGGCCACTTTGAATCGTCCCAGATACCAGCTGTGTTCACCAGTATGTCTATTTCCTTCAACTCACTTTTTACTTTCTTCACGGTGTCTTCGACTTCCGTTGTTTTTTTAATGTCACATTTAAAGAATATGGCTTTGGACTTACCGAAAGCACAGTTCAAGTAGTTAACAGCTTCCACACCCTTCTTCGTGTCTGTTCCGATTAAGGCAACTGTTTTGGCTTTATCGCATAATAGTTGATGAGCCGTTGCAAATCCAATTCCTCCCACTCCTCCAGTTATTAAAACAGTTTTGCAGTCTGGATTCAGGAGTACTGGTTTGGATTTGCATTTGTCTTTCTTTGAGCTGCTGCAGCGGATTGTTTGGTACACTATCAGGATTCTAATATTAGAAATTTTTAACTTCACATTCGTCAGTGGCTTTAATGAATTAAAAAACATTTTAAACTGTCATTAAATGTCATTCTTTTCTATGTATGACAAGTGTAACATACAGGGCGGCCATAAATAGGGTGTGTTAAAAAAAAATAAATCTAGCCGTTAACTACGATTCCATTATTTCAATTGAAATTTTGCATAAACTTATATCTTACCTCGATACATAATTTGATTAATTTTTATAAAAAAATGGAAAAGCGAACGGAGAAGAGTAAAGTTGTAGACCAAAAATCATGACAACGGTAGTTTGTACGGAATTTGCCACAAAAATTTATCAACCATTGCCATAAAATGTAAACATTTCAGGCGGAAAGCTGATGTGAAATAACGAGCGTTCAAATAAAAACGTGGTCAAGTTGGTTCTGAAAATTTGGACGTAGGGCGTAGCGGTATAGCAAATGAACTTAAACGTCATCTGTCAAAGCGCTATATCGCCGCTATCAATTTGAATATTTTCGTTTTAAAAAGCGTTTAAAATGGGTTTTCTCAAGAACAAAAAGTGTTTATCATAGAGTCCTACTTTAGAAATGGACGCAAGATTGATGGAATATGGAAGTATTCTATTGAGGAATGTTCCATAGAATTTCAAAATCAATTTCCCGGCGTTGTTGAGTATGAGTACAAAATTTTTCAAAGTGCAGTTCAGCGTTGTGTTAATGTTTTTAGTGAAACGGGCAGTGTAACAAGAAAAGAAGGAAGCGGCCGACCTAAAAAGCGGAATGTCCAACAAATAATGGAAAATGCGCCAAGAACATCTGTACGTGTTTGATCACAAATGGTGGGAGTATCAGTCGGTACCTGCCACACAGTGTTAAAAAAAGATTTGCGTTTGTTCTCCTGTCGTTTAACTTGTCAGCAAGAACTTCATGAAGTTGATTTTCCGCGACGGGCTGTATTTTGTGAATGGTTTTTAAACAACTACGGTGAACTTCATAATATCACCTTTTTTTCTGATGAAGCCTGGTTTCATTTAAGTGGTTACGTAAAC